CAAGGCTCATTGGTGATGCACATGGGGAGTGAAGGCTGGCCTGTGTGGTCCGATCCAACAGACGAGCTACTATAGCTCAAACTGCTGAAAAGGCTAATGCTGGTTCTGATAGAAAGGTGTCAGAACACACAGTGCATCACAATTTGTTGCGTTATGGGGCTGCAAAACATTATGATGACCAGCGTGCCCAGGTGGTTATAATGTTATGGCTGATCGTTGTATATATGTAAAATTTTTGGATTTCAGTTTTAAGGGATACTGGCTATGAGAGCTATGTGTGAACTGTGGCTTAACTGTGTTTAGACCATCAGGGAACATGCATTATTCTGCCTGGTGAATCATTTTCTATTGTCTGTTTGGCAGAACAAGTAACAAGCTGTGCAATTTTATTTAAGTATGTGTGTGTCTTACCCTCTATGGTGCCCCATTTTGTTTTCCTTCCCAGAATCCTCTTGCCGTTCACTTGGTACTCTTGGTCACTGCCCACAACAGCAAAAGGGATCATCTCCTGTTGGGTACACACATGCAAACACAAATGCACAAAGTCATTTAAATGTTACCCGTGATTTGGTTTTCAGGTCATGCTTTGGTTGTTTACCATTGCTAGAACAAGATGCTGAAATCGACAATTGTGGCTTTTAAGATTTCCCAAATAAAAAGAGAAAAGAATAGGACACAAAGGGAAGAAATTACATCTAACAAAGACTTGAATTTAAACCTGAAAAAAACACATTTGTGATTGTTATGTTCAATGTTGAAGCCACAGAAAGATACGCTCTACTTTGGCTGTTGAAACCTGAACCCAACACTATAAACTCACCCTGATTTTGTCATTGATCAGCCTGTCCTCTGCATCCTCGTCAAACTCTTTCTGAGGGTAAACATCGATTCCGTTGGCTCGCAGCTCTTCCCTAATCTGCACAAGGTTAAACACAATGACACTTTACTTAAAAATGGCTAAATATACATAGTATAACAGCACACAAAGTTAAATTATATGTAACTGACCAACTAATTCAGTTTATTAATAGATAACTAACCACTCTAACGTAGTCTTTTATGTAATGGTAATCAAAATTCAGAGAGACTTTTCTCACAGTTGCTGAATCATAAACATAGTCAAAGGTTTCCGTAATGAGAGCTGAAACAGACACTGAAAAAGAGGAAGTCTGAATCGCAGACAAAAACAATCAATCAAGCCCAAACCCTTCATCCATCATCTCAGAATCCCAGCCCTGCAGCCAACATTGAAGTCAATCAGTCACCACAACACGCAAACATACGTGATGCTTGGACTGAATCCTGTTTACATACAGGTATTTAAGTTTGGGTTTGAGACTTGAATAGAAGCTGCTCTGACCCACTAGAGGACTTAAATAAACACTTGGTTACGTTATACTGGCTGGTGTTGAAACTAAATGGTTTCTAATATGCTCGAGATGGAGGGGTTAATATAGAGGTTAACCGCTCTTACAAAAAAATACATCCGGACAGAGATATGGCTTATAAAATGGCCACCCCTATTCTCTGTATGTCTTTATAATGATTGAAACTCAGGCACGGACGCAGAAAAATAGACAGACAAGCTTCTGGGAGCAATGTCCTTTTAATGAATGACTGTTCACTCCCACAATTACTACTCTGACAATTTCCACTTGGTCCTTGATCAAACATTTCATTGTTTATCCTTGGAAGCGTTCTCAGGCTTACATTATAGGATGCAAACCAAAAGAAATTCTACAAAAAAGCCACATCAACTGTTGGTTAGAGGAATAAGAACAGACACTCACAGCTGGACACACCGAGGCTGAACATTTAATAGAAAAACCCCTCTTACTCTGTTTGCATGTCAAGTTGCTGCAGGGAAAATGGAAAAAAAAAAATACATTTGGCATGAGAGCCTTTTAGTCAATAATCTTCAGGGTCATACAGAGCATGTGCGGCCAACGAAAACAATCCAGCTACAAGCCTGGTGGCTCCCATTCTCTGCCAGGGTCTGGTCCAATCCCTGCTTTGTTCTTATTGGCCAGTGTTACAGGCATCAGGGGGAAAACGGTAGCCAAGACACCCATCGAGCTTCTCTAAAATGAATAAAGCTGTTAGGGACGTCTGTAGTCTTGGAAGGAGGGATGGAGAGATAAAGGGAATGATGGAGGAAGGCAGGTGGCCGTCTGCCTCCTGTGGATTGAGAATTATCCAACAGAAACACACGGGATGGGATGCATGGGATGACCGCTTAAGACTCAAGCCAGGTGGAGCAAGAATCTGTTGTAGCAGGGAAAGCCATGATAAGAAGGTGATGGCTGTGATGTTACAGTGGGGTATTATCAGCCTGAGGAGTTTCATTGTATGTTAGTTGGCTATGAATGAGGCTACTGAAACATACCAAAAGCAAAATAAGCCCTGAGAGGAACAACAAGTGACAAAATATGCCTTTTAAATGAAGGTTTTGTGTAGTTCTGTTTAGTGTTCCAGCTCTTGTGATTTATAATTGTACAGTTATGGACATACTGAAAGAAGACCATGTCCATTTGCTGCTCTGTGAGGCTGTACTTAGACACAGCTGGGATTTTGAACTCAATGCTAAATAAACAGTTAACAAGTAAGGAGATATAATGCATACCGTTCACCATCTTAATCTCGTATGTTAGCATGCTAACATTTGCCAGTTATCACTGATCACAAAATACAGCTGAGGCTTATGGGAATATCATCCGTTTTGCAAGTATGGACCAAAGATGAAAAGTCAGGGGATCACTTAAGCCATTAGGATGCATCCTCTGGCCATTATGAATATCTGCATCAAATTTCTAAATTCCATCTAACAGCTGTCGGGACATTTCACCAGACACCAAAAATGTGAACCTCATGGTGGTGCTAGAGGAGAAAAAGTCGCCTGGGAACCATGTCTGTAAAAAGGTTTGTGCTGCTCCATCCAATAATCATTCAGCTATTTTAGTCTGGAACTAAGTGGTGGACCAGACGGCTGTTTGTGTGGCTAGAAAAAAACGAGGAGCACTAAAAGATGAGCAAACTGTACATTGTAAAGAGCTTTAACTTTCACAATCAAAAATAGGGAAATTAACTTGGATTATTTGTAGAAAATGATGAATATTCACTGTTAACTAAAATGGTGCTTTCTAGCTCCTTTAATTCTGGTCATGTTTTTTGAATTTACCACGCAATGGAGACTTCTCTGAACTTGGTTGACTTGTACGATCACCCAGTAATTCACTGGTAATGAAGGGCCTGCCTGCTCAGCCAGCAACTGGGCAGAGGTTCCCCATCTAAAAAAGAGCCAGACTTAAGAGCTGAGGAACGCCACTCAGTAGATAAATGCTTAAAATAAATAGTTCTCAAATGTTTCCTTCTGGACTGAGCATGACTATCAACGTGTTACAATTATAGAGATGATACAGTATTTCCCAGGATGGGTACAATGTGGGTTTTTGCCCAGATGGCTTTTGTTAGTGGTGCCTGGCAGCTCTTCATATGTTACCGACCTGTGGTTGTGGATATGCATAGACTTGTGTTTGTGGGGGGAATCCGCCGACTGTTTGACCTACTGATGCACTCATACATTTATTTTAAGCTTGCTCTAAAGACCTGCTACAGGCTTTTGCAGGTGTGGTGCAAGGAAAATATAACCAAATATATATTAATGTCACAAGCGAACACCCACACATCCACAAATACACACTCCTCTCACCGTCTGTTTAAAGTAGTCCCTCTCCTCCAGGGTGAGCGTGTCAGCCTTGGCAATGACGGGGACGATGTTGACCACCTTGCTGAGACGCCTCATGAACTCCACATCCAGAGGCCTCAGACTGGAGGAAGAAAGAGACGACACAGTACAACATCATTTCATGCCGAAATGTCTGTAATTAAATGCGTTTGTTGTTTGCATTAATGGGTCTCGGGTTACAGGACAAGCCAGGATGTAAAAACGGAAAACAACCGACAACACTGCAGATTTGTGCACCTTTTCATCTCACACAGATACCATGATGTAAACCTTTTATCTGTTTACTTCTTAGTGACAGATCTGCGCCACACAGAAAGTGTCATGCCATGAAGTTACAGCATCTTAATTCCTTAAATATGAATGTAATGATACAGAGTTACCACTAGAGGGCAATCATGGTCTATTGCATTACATTCAGTCCACCCAGGTTTCCATGTTAATACTCACTCCATTAACATATGCTGCAGTTTCTTTCCTACTGAAACTATTCTCCTGTTACATTCTCCTAGGTGTGATTTCAGTAAACTGTAGAATAACCTAACACATTCATTCCCAGGCTTAATGCATAAAACAGTGAATATAATGCAGTTGTGTTTCCAATTTGTCCTTAATGTTCTTTGTCTTTGTCTTTCTTTCGGTTTCTTCACTTAACTCAAAGCAAAATATGGACTAAAGTATATTCTCCGCATTTTTGTTATTTTTAAATGAGGTTTTCACTCCTGTAACAGCCTTACAACGATTGTGCCTAGTGAGGCTCTGATTAGCGCTTATATTATTCAACACTGTTCCCGTATGTTTCCCATTTCTCTCCGCCCTCCATGTTGTTTTCTGACTCATCTTTGTCTCCAGTTGTTCCTCTAGATAGACTCCCTCATGCTGTCTGTTCTGCCCTCCAATTAGCCCCAGTCAAGTCAGGCCAGCCTGGTTCAGAGACCCAGGGTCAGCTGGCCTTGCTGCCTCTCCTCAATGACTGACAAGCATGTCACAATGAACATAGGATGAAACACGGGATGTGTTACAAAAAGCGAAAGAGAGAGAAAATAAGCAATGCACTTAACCAGAGATAGAAAGCACTATGTTTTTAATTGTCATACTGAGCTAATAACTGGCATGTGTCATATAGAGTTGACGATCTCTTGTTAATATTTAATCAAATACAAATAATGTAAACTGCATACATAGACTATCTATGTACATACAAATTGGCATGTGAACTGCATTATATGCACAACTGAGCAAACATGCACCCTCCATGCGCACACATGTATCTATGCACACGAACATATGCTGTATGGAGTAAAATATGTATGTATGCATGCATGCACACATGTCCACCTATATGCTTGCTTGCATGCACAAATTCTCCTTTTTGTGTCATTGGGGGAAAAAAAGCAGTCATGTTTATATACGATAAGCTCTGCAGTCAAATGAGAAGTGGAGAAACCAGCCAACCACAGTGCAGATAGCTCTCCCTTCTGTCTTTTTTTATAAGAGATCAGAAACTAGCTCGGAGTTGATGAGAGTCAACGTGCAGCCTTCTTTTTCGCAGGGAAACATGTTAAATGAGGTAACAAACAAGACTGCCCAGAGGGAAAACAGTGCGGCTGACTCTGCCATTATTGGAAATGGCTGTCGATGCCAAGGCTGTGTTCTGCTTGACTGAGCACCGTTCATCTATCTGAAACCACAGAAGCAACTTAAAAGCAAATTGCTGACATGCAAATTACATTAGATAAATACAAACTGCTGTTTAAAACGTTTCAGACAAAAAGATAATCGGGGAAAAAAACTAGCATATCTCCAATGATCGAGGCCTATGTGAGCTACCAGGGATGTTTTGTCATCATTTTCCTGCCTGTCATTCTTGGACTGTGGTCACATGGCAGAGGCGTCCAGAGGCTTTTGGCACTGTGTCTGTGTAATTGGTAACAGGCCCTAATTTAAAACTGAAACTGGTGTTACTGTGTGAAACAAGAAAGGGAAAATAAGCAAAAAGAGAATAATAGAGAACAATTTTAGAGTTTTTAGATTCTTTCCAGCACTTTTTTTCCCCTCATGAACCAAGTTAAATCTAAAGCTCAAACTCATTTTTGGTACATACAAAATTCAATTGCAAATATGTTCTTTATCTTGCCTATTTCTAAGTATCCTTAGCTTAACATATGCACACATACAAGTGTGTTGTTTAATAATCATCTCAATGCCAGGTCACAACAGTTGCCCTGACAGATGTCTCCTTTGTTCTGCTGGCTACAACTCTCTGTAAGGAAGAGACCACTTCCTGACAGATGTTTGCATCTTCGCTTTCAGAATGAGTGTATATTTTCATGTATTCATGAACATGTTTCAGTAAAGAGTCTGGGATATTTATGTGTGTGTGAATGTTGTGACAGTTTGAATATAGCCTGATTAGCAACAAAGTTTGAGGATATAGGAGCTGAGAGAGGGAAGCAACACGGATTCACAATGAAAGAGAGAAAGGAGAGCAGTTTAGGTGTTGTTGAACTGAGCAACTGTAAGCAATGTGATACATAAAAACATTCAGGGCATCCAAATAAGAGTAGTTAAACAAATGTTAGCATGTCCACTGCCCACTCTGCTTAAGACAAGCATGGATACAAAGACACATTCTCTGAAGCAGCAGGTGTGGCGTCAAGAACAGATGATGAGGGAATCTTTCAAACAGTGGCGCACACACACACACAC